CATACATACACTTGTACACAAACACACACACACACACACACACACACACACACACACACACACAAAATATGACAGAGGTTGTTATTTCAGAAAACAAGTGGAATATTGTTAGCATGTACCAGCAATTATTTTAACAAATGATTAAAATGTTAAATCTTTTTAGAAGGAAAAAAAAAGCTTGGTAAAATCACGTATTGTTGGACTTCAACATCAGATCTTTAATAATCATTTTATAATTAGAAATACAGAATGATGTCAAGTACATGGAGAAAAAATTAAGAATATAGAAATGAATAACACAATACTGGACTTTGAACATCAAATTATGTAATTAAATTATTGTATAAACTTAATGAACACTGTAACTGATATGAGCAAATCATTCCAATATGAACAAATGTGATTGTTGACAAAAACTTTTTTTTTTTTTTTTAGGAAATAATGAATGATGTCAAGTACATGGAGAAAAAATTAAGAATATAGAAATGAATAACACAATACTGGACTTTGAACATCAAATTATGTAATTAAATTATTGTATAAACTTAATGAACACTGTAACTGATATGAGCAAATCATTCCAATATGAACAAATGTGATTGTTGACAAAAACTGAAAATTGTTTTTGTTGTGCCGGCAGCTTCGGAGGCGGAGGAGGAGACGTCAGGCTATGAGAGCGAGCGTTCCCTCTCGCCGCTGGGCCCCGCCGATGACGCCGCCACCGCGTGCGCCTCGCCGCTGACCCCGCCGTCGGGGAGGAGGCCGCGCACGGCCTTCACGGTGGAGCAGATCGGAAGCCTGGAGCGAGCTTTCAAGAGGAACGCCTACCTAGGCACGCAGGACAAGGCGCAGCTCTGCCGCAAACTCAACTTGTCCGACAAACAGGTCGCTAGCTAGCATCTCTGCTTACTAGCGTGTTAGTTAGCCCAGTTTGCGAATTTATGCTAGCGATGAGCCTTACCTGAAGGAGGCCAAGATTTGAACTATCAAATACTTGAGTTGATGGAACATGGACTGATGTTTGTGTGCCTGCTACAAGGATGCTGTCCGTGCTTTGCTGCCATCTGGTGGCATCAAAACACATTCCCACAATAATTCCGATTTTAGACTTGGCAAAATTACTCAAATTCAGACTCTATTTTAATAACATCAGGACTTATTTTTGCAAAATGATAACCTTCCCCTTTTTTCCACAAAACGTTGCGAATCTTTCAAGAAAAATGTCAAAATTTGAAGTGAAATTTATTTTACTTTGTACTTTTTCTGGAAATCACAAATTTCCCCCCTCTTCTTTCTTCTCCGTGACGTCGCAGATCCGAAACTGGTTCCAAAACCGGCGCATGAAGCTGAAGCGGACGGTGCAAGACGCTCTGGCGCATGCCTGCCAAGCCAGCGCCGCGTCGCACTTTGCGCCCTACCCCGAGCTGCAAGCGTACCGGCCGGCTCCGTACCCACGCTACCACCCGATGCCATTGACGCTTCAGGACGCCGGCGGCGCCACCGCCGCCGCCTTGGCTCAGCCACCGCACAACCTCCAGTACGCCTCGCCTCTGGACTCGATCTACCAATATGGCAACGTGGCTGGCGCCATGTTGTCCGCCGCCACGCCGCCTCCCCCCGCCCCTCCTCCTCTAATGGCAGCCTACCCGGCATACCCCCAATACTACTGACAGCCACTCTGTCTTGGTATGCTCATTGAATCTTTGTGTTGTTTCTGTGAAGGCTTGTGTGCAATGGGGGGGTTTGTGTGTGTGAGTTCGCGCGTGTGTGTGAGATGATAAATTCTGTATTTCTCATTTAATTCCAATAAAATCCAATCATTCATTTTTTTTCTAGTGCTTGTCCGCTTTAGGGTGACCGGTTGCCGCCCAATCACAGCTAGCCAAGTGATGAACAGGTCACCAATCAATATAAGGGTGCATGTGGAGTGGATGTAAAAGTCTATCCCCTCCCCCAACCCCCCATGCTCAAATATCAGGTTTTTGTGATTTCAAAAGAAAAGGAGACGAAGATAAATCGTTTCAAAACTTTCTGCGGCGATCGTGAGTCATCAATCAATTCATCAACAAAATTATGAAAACTATTTGAATGATTGCTCGCTGCGGTCCTAATTATTATTATTAATGTGGCCAGCTTGTGAAATCATTGTAGTAAAATCAATATTGCCATTCACACCTGTCATGTTTGGATTCAAAACACATTGTTTAAAATCTTTGTAAGGGAAGGCACACATGGACAAACAGCACCAAACTAATTGTCATAAAGTCCTCAAGGTTTTCATGTCAGATTTTTGGGGGGGGGAAATTTCATCCGGAAATGTATTGAAGTTGCTTAAAATTCGACTTCCCGTTACTTCTTGGTATAGATATATACACGCATATTTTATTTTAGTTTTTGAAATACAACATTTCTACGCACCGGCACTGGTGGTATAAAAAGTGGCGTTTATTGGTAGTAAAAAATAAAAAATTCAGCTGACTGGTGTGAACATTTAGTTGAAAGTCCACGTCGCACACCGCGTGTTCTTCACGCCCACCGACCGCAACCCACGTGACCAGAGGCACTTCCTCAAACCGCTGCAAGCACGCGCTTGAACGTTTCCTCCCTGACAGTTGTCTGTCGTGCTGTTTTTTGGATACTGTCGTTGTCCCTTTTGTCCATTGTTTGATCGTTGTTTTGTTTTTTGTTTTTTTTTTGCCGCGGTGATGCTCGCGGGACTCTTGCGCGTGCTCGCGCTGGCCGCCCTGCTCACCTGCTGCGCGAGGCGCGTGCTCGGCGCGGGGCTCACCAGCAACGTCCTCCTCATCGTCACCGACGACCAAGATCAAATTCTGGGGGGTATGGTGAGTGTACGCGCTCACGTGACTTTTGCACTCACTTACCTTGCTCACTGTTCCTATCGCTTGTCTAGTTTGCACTTTTCCCAGCGAAATTTCACTTGGCAGTTAATTTCTTGACAGTTGGTCTTTTTTGCTGCCTTTGATCTCATTCTTGATGCCACTCTTTGTTTTCTTTTTTTGTTTGTTTTTGTCTTTCTTTCTTCATCAGCATCTGTTGTTTTATTGTTAATGCTCTCTCAAAAGTTTGGAACTTGAACCCCTTGCAATCGAAATTACTAAATAAAATAGACAAAAAAAAAACTGCCTACCGAATGGCCAAAGTGAAACAGTTTGTTTTTTTTCCAAATGACAGACTTTGCTATTTGGGAATTTCATTTTACTACTTTGTGATGTCGATTTGAATTCCATAAATGATTCAGCTGTATTCCAGTCTGCACTTTTTACACAAATTGAAATTTCGCTTGTTTGCCGAGGTCCAGTTCGACTTAGTCGCACTTCTACTTGCCTGCTGCTTGACATCTAATTCATAACCTCAGTCTTTTTTTTTTTTTTTTAATGGTTACATACTCATTCGATAACTGCACTCGTTCATTTTGAGGATGTCATTTGCCAACGCAAAAAAAAAAAAAAAAAAAATCCCATGATGGATTTTCTGTGCGTGTTTGTGTGTTGCCTTTCCTTGACTTTCACTTCCCGTCCCTCAGACACCAATGAAGAAGACCAAATCACTGATCGGAGACGCGGGCGCCACCTTCATCAACTCGGTGAGCACTCCGTGACTCGGCTCCGCCGATTTATTCGCCGCGACTTCGTTCTTCCTCTCTCCCTCAGTTTACGGTAACGCCGCTGTGCTGCCCGAGCCGCTGCAGCATCCTGACCGGTCGCTACCCTCACAATCACCTGGTCAGGAACAACTCGCTGTCCGGGAACTGTTCTAGCGCGGCATGGCAGAGCCGAGGCGAGTCGGAAGCCTTCCCCGTTTTCCTCAGCAAGAGCGGCTATCAAACCTTCTTCGCCGGCAAGTACCTCAACCAGGTGGGGATCCCGTCCTCCGACTTGCGCACGCTCGTTGCCACAAAATGACCAGACAAGAGCTTAGTCTGGGGTTGTTTTTTTTTCCCCTCTCAACACCCGTTCTGTAATCCCCCCTGTTGATCTTAGTTTTTTTTTTTTTTTTCTGTCTCTTGATTTTGATTTCAAACAAAGAAGCTTCACAATCGCAGGGGCCAGAGCGGATGCTAACACTTAGCATAGCCGGACGATATTTCTGGTGGATGTTGAACTGTAATACAGACACGCCGGGGAATCGAACAAGGAACTTCTGATCTCGAGACCTTTCCTCGATGTACGCTTGATGCTGGTTTTGTCTGTCAACAGTACGGCGACAAAAAAGCAGGCGGTGTCGGCCACGTTCCGCCGGGGTGGGACCAGTGGCACGCGCTGGTCAGTGGCATGCGCGCACACACCCACGCACATGCGTGCGCTACTTTTGACGCTCACGTGTCAACATGCTGCGTATGTCCAGGTGGGCAACTCCCGCTACTACAACTACACCCTGTCCAGAAACGGGGTGGAGGAGAAGCACGGCGACAACTACACAGAAGACTACCTCACCGACCTCATTGTAAGTCTCACGTGCGCGTTGATGGCGCCTCGTTGGTCCTCCGCTAACGTGCCTTGGCTTTCCCCCGCCCGCAGGCCAATCGCTCTCTTCAGTTCCTGGACAACCGAAGCCCTCAGCGTCCGTTCTTCCTGATGCTGGCCCCGCCCGCACCGCACTCGCCCTGGACCGCCGCGCCGCAGTACCGCCGACACTTCGCCGACGTCAAAGCGCCCAGAGATGGAAGCTTCGACAAGGCGGCCAAGGTGAGGCGAAACCGAGGCTCGGTGACTCCATCTTATCCTCGGTTGCTGCCTTGCAGGACAAGCACTGGCTGCTGCGCCAGCCCGTCAACCCCATGCCCAACAGTTCGCTCGACTTCCTGGATGATGCGTACCGAAAGAGGTGACGTCGCAACACCAACACCACCGCCGCCGTTTGCGTGATAACCAGTTTGACAATAATGAGGGTGACCATCATTATGGCAATGACGGTAACGAGTACAACTACCACGACGACGATGATGACGATGTATCTGGTGACGAGAACGAGGATGATGATTATGACAGGCATGATGACGCTTAATGGCAACAATAATGACCATTATATGGATTATGGCCTTGATGGCAAACGATGAATTTGATGATGACGTTGGTGAATGTAGTGAAAATTACGACAGAGATGACAACATTAAGGACGATGACAATAACGACAACACCCGTGATGCTGGCGATGATGAGAACAGTTACGAGGATGACCGTTATATTGCTTACGACGTTGATGACAATGAGGAATATGATGACAATTATGCCGCTTACGACGATGATGAGGATGATGATGACGATGATGACAATAACTATGATGATGGCAATCAAGAAACCTGAATATGGTGATGACGTGAAAACGAGCATGATGTTGACAATGATGAATCTGATGACAATTACGACGATTGACGACCCCCCCCACCCCCCACCCCCCAGATGGCAAACGCTGCTGTCGGTGGACGACCTGGTGGAGACACTGGTGAGGAAGCTGGAGGAGCTGAAGGAGCTCAACAACACGTACGTGCTCTTCACGTCAGACAACGGCTACCACACAGGTCAGCGCAACTCACACGCACGCACCGACTAATTTGTGGACTTTGCTCAGTGCAGTCCCTGAACACACCAGCGGGTTCCCAATGTGGTGGCGGCGGTGTTTTGTTTTTGTTTTGCCGGCAGGTCAGTTCTCTCTGCCAATCGACAAGCGTCAGTTGTACGAGTTTGACATCCGCACGCCGCTGCTGGTGCGCGGCCCCGGCGTGAAAGCCAACACCACGGTGAAGGTGATAAAAGAAGCGCAAACGTTCTCGGTGTCAACCGATCGTTTTTTCCACTTTGGATTGGCAATCGGGAAAAACAAACAATGAAAAAAATGATTGGTTCTTTTGTTGTTTTTTTTTTCTTTCCCGATAGCCCATTGAAAATGGAAAGAACAAAGCTCCACGGTTGATCGCGTCAAAGATGTTCAATTTCATTTTGTTGTTGTTCTTCAGGCTCCCGTGCTGAACATTGACCTCGCGCCGACCATTCTGGACATCGCCGGCATCAACGTGTCGGCCGCCAATGCGGACGGACAGTCCTTTCTGCCTCTGATGGTTCGCTGATGATGTCGCCCTCCTTAAGCGTCAACGTGAGCTCACATCTTTTTTGTTATGCGTCAGGCACCGGCGTTGCGCAACGGCTCTGCGCGCCCTTACTTCCTGGTGGAGCACACGGGCGAGGGGCTGTCCAGCGGAGACCCCAGCTGCCCCAAGAAGGGCCCTGGCCTGGCTGTGAGTAGACTGATGTGCTTGTGGGTGTAAGGTTACTTTAAGATCGACGCTAATTTCTTTTAGCCTGTCTGTGGTGCTTCGCATTATGTGTTAGCATTAAGCTAGCAGAGTCTTGCCAGGATTCAATTATACGATTTGGTTGATCATTTTGTGTTTTATATGTTACAATGTGGGCAGCACGGTGGTCAACTGGTTAGCACATCGGTTTCACAGTGCAGTGGTGCAGGGTTCGATTCCAGCTCCGGCCTTCCTGTGTGTGCATGTTCTCCCCGTGCCTGTTTGTGTTTTCTCCGGGTACTCCGGTTTCCTCCCACAATCCAAAAACATGCGTGGCAGACTATTGGAGCAATCTAAATTGTCCCAAGGTGCGATTGTGAGTGCAGATGGTTGTTTGTCTATGTGTGGCTTGCGATTGGCTGACACCCAGTTCAGGGTGTCCCCCCCGCCTACTGCCCGATGACAGCTGGGATAGGCTCTAGCACCCCCCGCGACCCTCATGAGGATAAGCGGATTAGAAAATGGATGGATGGATGGATGGATGGATATGTACAATATTTACTTGAATTTGCCATTTGATATGTTTGAATTTCCTTGCTTGATTGTTGTGCTTGTCGTTGGTCAGGAATGTTTCCCTGACTGCGTGTGTGAGGACTCTTTGAACAACACGTATGCCTGCGTCCGGACGCTGGATGGACACGACAACATGCAATACTGCGAGTTCGCAGACAATGAGGTAATGCGCAGAAATGCAAGTTCCTCACATGGATCCCTCTTCTCACACCAATTACCCAAAAAATGTGCTTTCGCACTACTTGGCAGATGAGCATCAGAATTAGCGTGTACACATCAAATTGTGTGTCCCATGTCTGACAGCAAATAGCTGACTGTGGAGTTCCTCGGCCACAACCCCTAGAAAGGGTTAGAATTGCCCACACCTGCCACAAGAAGTGGCACACTGCTACTTTTGTGGAACTGAAGTGCACTTCAGCATAGTTCCTTGGCACCAAGATGCCACAAAATGGCGGAGAACCACACCTTTTGTCTAAATGTGACTCTTCAGTGCACGTCAACATAGTTCCGTTGCATCAGGATGCCACAAAATTGGAGCAAAATACTACTTTTGTTAAGATGAAACTCCTGAAATCACTCCAATGTAGTTCCTTGACACCAGGTTGCTATTAAGGTGATATTTGTTGCACCCCTCATGTATTCTTCATTAGCTGAAAGTTGACAAAATCTCCACAAGCAGGAAGTGATCTAAGCGTGTCGCAACCTTTTTTTTTTTCTGCCCCCTCCCGCCTAGTCATTTGTGGAGGTGTACAACCTGGGCTCGGACCCCCACCAGCTGGAGAACATTGTGAAGAAGGTGGACCCGGCCGTGCTTCAGACCATGAACCAGCGGCTCATCAAGCTGCAGTCTTGCCAGGGCGCCGGATGCCGCGCCTTGTCCACGTGAAGGCCACTCGCAGCCAAGCAAGCCGTCTTGTCATGCTTGGACTTGGCGGTGAACACGTCGGTGAGACGCCTCTTCTTTTTTTTCCACCTGAAAAGCATCGAAACCAAAGCTGCCATTTTGATTAGCACCGGCCACGAAGGCCGACTTCCAGTGTTTCACTAAACCTGCGCTCCACTTCCTGTTTAGTCACAAGATGGAAAATCTGCCAAAAACAAATAACGAATGTGCGCGGGGGGGTCTGTACAACACTCACAACTCTGTGAACGGTTGTCGTACGAAACGAGAATTCTTTAGTTCCCTTTTCATTGATTACTCTGTGCCTTTTTTTTCAAATGAGAAGTCCAACTTGTGAAGGTGACCTCTCAAAATCACTTGAATTCCATCTTCATGCTAGGCCAGCTAATTTAGCATGTCGACTGCAATGAAATGTTCCTTTTCCAAATGATTTTGTCATCTCCATGCCACTGTTGCTTTTTTTTTTTTTTAAATCATACTTTCAATGAAATATTTACAAAGAGATGAAACGGTCTCATTTTAAATAGTTTTGCTGTTATGTATTGCAACTGTTTGCACTGCCTGCTGGCATCACTGTGAAAGTTTGCACTGTGAAAAATGAAAATAAATCGATTGTAGCTTTCTCATCTTTTGTTTATTTTTTATTTTTTTGGGCGTGGGGGGACCATCATTTTCTGTTGGGCTAAAGTAAACTTTCGGCAATCAATCAGGAATGCAGGAAATGGAAGATTAGGAAATGGAATGTTGGCGCTTAACCGGAAACATATTTTAGCTTCAGCCTGACTAAAGTAAGCAGATTTCATGTAAGTACAGAACCTCACATTGGAACTGAGTGCCTCAAGCAAATTCGTGTTGTGATAGGTGGTTACGAAGTCAGTTGGAAGAAAAGATGGAGAACGGCATGTCAAATATGTTCAATTTGATTACATGAAAAGGGGAAAAGACAGAAATACTGATGGTTACAATCAGCAAGTGAGCAACTTCATTTTTTTTCTCCCTTTATTTTTCAAGTAGGCCAACGGAAACAACCTCGTGAGTGTCCCTTGTCGACCTTTTTTAAAAAAACGGAGAAAAGGAACTGGGCTGCCGTGACAGGAAACTGGGAAGTTGAAGACGAATTGGCCGTCACAGATATTTATACACTTGCTTCTCCTGCAGCGTCTGCACGTCAAGCTTGACGGGACATTTGTAGAAGTGAGACAGCAGCGACTCTGTGTATCCAATCAGGAAGTAGAACTTGTGCGGCGGCATCTTTTGCAGCATGAGGGCGCACACTGTCAGCACGTTGCCGCTCCGCTTGATCACCAGCTCGTTGGCGAGGCAGCCGTGAAAAGTGCCGAACATAAAACGGCGGATGAAGGTGTCCTCAATGGCGCGTTCCGCCGCGCCCTGCTCGCCTTTTAGGTTACCTGGCAGGGTCGCAGACAATGTCCAAATTTGAAAAACGTAAAACCATACATGGTATAACAGGACAAAAATGTATGATAAAGTTGTGATATTATGGGGAAAAATAACACTTCAAGGTTTACACATATAAAGTTGAGGGGGGATTTTTTTTTTTTTTTTTTTACCCCAACTTGTATAACAAGTGCTCCACCAATTCCCGTTGATGTCTTTTGACACTCGTATGACAGTTAGGAATGTTGACAGTTGGATTTTGGGTTCAGGTTCTTTCGATTTACAGCTTCCCGGAATGAACAGTGACCTTGGCAGAGGTCTTGGTTCAAGACTCACTGGTGTGCTGTGACAGCCATCCTTTGTGGTGGCCGATGTGGTGAGGTTTCAGGGCCTCTTCATAGGTCAGAGGACGGTCGCCTTTCCCCACTCGGATGCGAGCGGCTCGGTTCTGCCCAGTAAAACAACAACAAATACTTTTAACGTTCATAGTGTTGCTTGGACGTGGATAAAAGTGGGCGTGACGTCATAGCTGTACTTACCTTACAGCAAACTGCAGTGACGTGAAGAGCTCTGCTTCCGGGCGGACTTGACCTGCTCACTGCAGCCTGCACACAAAACAAATCGTTTCATTATGAGCAGCTGAGCAGTGTTGCAAGATTCCTGCAATATTTCCCTTTTGGAAGATCCCACACCAATAAAAGAAAATCCCTCATTTAATTGCACTGGTAACATTCTGGATGTATCTAGTTATGAACGTGACTAGAAAGGTAATAAAAAGAAGCATTTCGTGAATTGATTTCAGTTGTTATATTTTAAAAACGTTCTTTGTGATTGTATTTCTATATTGCCAGTGACAGCTAGCACTACGAACTAATTCGAGATGAGACTAATTGCACCACAGCTCCCAGTACCAAACTTCCGCCTTCACGTTAGTTTGCTACAGGTTGTTTCCATACAACAACCCTAAATATATGTTAGCCGAAATGCGTTTAACTCGCTTTACTCACTAGGAACCTCCAGCATCCTGTGGTGCTCAAGGGCGCCGCCATCTTGCTTTCACCGTTTACGACACAAACATAATTTACATTCACTACGTCCTTATTGCGGTCCCCCGTGACAGTAAAGCATTCAAATCACAATTGAAAAAAAATAATGTAGTAATTTAATAGAACAAAAGAACTAATATATTTGATTTATGATTTAGAATATTGTAATTAAAGGTAGCAGTTGATGCGGAACTATCTGTCGTTTCTCTTGTTCCCGGCCGTGAAAAGATAACTATACATGAAACAACCAGATGTCTACAAAATAAAGTATTTTATATATTTTTAAAGATGAATAAACAAGTGCTATTCACATGTTAAACATACAATCGCCGTATGTATATTTAGATATGTGTTTTAATTTATTTGTAGTGTCAGTTTGGAGTTTTTTTTCCTTTTACACTCAACGGCAAGTCAACTTACTTTGAAGGTGTCTAACCGGATGCGTGGCTTTGTTCTGGAAGCAACCACCACAGACACCAAAGAAATGCAACGTATTTGGCGTAAACATTGATCGTTTTCTTCTGAAAGTCCGCTTCTGTTTTTTTATACACGCTAACGGCTTGATAAGCCACTTTGGAGCATCTTTGAAGGAGCAACGCGGAAAGCATAGCCATGTCGTCGCCGCTCGAGATGACGGAAATGTATGACAACGCGCTGCTTGGCATTCTGCAGCACGTCGGAAACATTCAGGACTTTCTGCAAGTCTACTTTGGCTTTTTGTACCGCAAGACTGACTTTTATCGACTCCTCACCGGTCCCGGCGACAAGATGGGCTTCCCGCCAGGTGTCGCCGAGAAGATGGTCCTACAGGTGCGCCTAATTTCGACCCAATAAAAGCTTTATAATGCATTCAAGTTGTTATAAATTTCTTTAGATTTGTTCTCTATTCGACTCCGATGATTCCGTTTTCCATGTTGTCACAAAACTATTACATTTAATCAACATTTCTGGTGATATTTGAATACTGTAAATACGTTCATACTAACTTTCTTGATAAAGCGAACCTATCCAGTATTATGAGTCAAACAAAGGTTGTTACTTTGGAAACGATAAAAAAATTGCTTGTAATTGCAATTTACTTTGGTCAGTTGTTTTTTTTCTGTGACATTTTGTCGTTAAAACTCTTCGCCTGCGCAGACGTTCAAGATGTTTGAGAAGTATTCCAAGGAGATCCGCGAGCTTCAGAAGCAACAGGACGAGATGGCGGCAGTTCCCGCGGCGGTCCAGGAGCTGGAGGTCACGTCGGAGGCCACGCAGGCGGCAAGCGCTTCGCCGTCCTCGGATGCCGTTGCAGAGTCTGAACCCTCTGCCAAACCTCAGGCTGATGGCAGTGACGGCGCCATGGTCCAAGGCGACCAGGAAGCTGCAGCATCCCACCCAGCAAAGTCAGTTTTTAATCAAAGTTGAATAGAGAGAAGATAGGAGTGCGATTGCACAACTTTAGTTGGAGTTGTTATGTTTCCCAATGTCCCTGAATGCACCATGTGTTGGTTCGCAGGATGCCTTGAGGTGGAGTTGTGCCTTTTCCTCACATCATTTAAGATAGCATCTGTTGGTGATTGTGCGCCTTTATTTGCAGTTGTGATATTTCCCTGTATCCCTGAACACAGCATATTTTGTGACTGAATTGTGTGACTATAGTTGGAGATGCCACATTTCCCAGCGCCCCTGAATGCAACATGTTGATCAACTCAACTGGATTGTGTGACTTTCGTAGGTCTTTTGATGTTTCCAGTGTCCCTGAATGCAGCATGGATCTGACATTTGGGTGTTTTTTATTTCAGGCCAAGCCAAAATCCATCAGCGTTGGACTCAGACAGCTACAACGGCGCTGTGCGGGATAAGTACCAGTGGTCTCAGGACTACAACGACGTGGAAGTGCGAGTCTTTGTGCCCAAGGAGGTGGTCAAAGGCAAGCAGGTGAGCGCGGCAGCGGTGGCAGTGGCGGCAGCAGTGGCGGTGGAAACAGCGGCGATGACACGTGTGTACATGCGCCTACTCAGGTGAGTGTGAGCCTGCACAGCGGCGGCATGCGGGTTTGCGTGCGCGTGGGCCCTGAAGAGCAGACGCTGGTGGAGGGCAAATTCTCGCACAAGATCAACACGGAGAATTCCCTTTGGAGCCTCGAACCGGGAAAATGCGTTGTGGTAACGGACCACTTTGGACCTTATTCACTTCATGCCTTACCTTGCAACTTTTCACCTGCCCAGCAGAACTCTTCATGGCTCCAGATTCTCACTACTTCTATTTCAGCTGTCCCTGAACAAGTCGTCAGAGGTGTGGTGGAAGTGCATCCTGGAGGGCGAGGAGGAGATCGACGTGGACAAGCTGAACCGTGAGCGCTCCATGGCCAGCGTGGATGAAGAGGAGCACGCCGTCCTTGACCGCCTCACCTTCGACTACCACCAGAAGCTGCAGGGGAAGCCACAGAGTCACGAGATGGTCGGTGTGCACATTCACACAGAACAGCAACACGGGGCGGCGGGTAAACTTTGTCAGAGCGTGAAAGGGGCTCACACACTTACTTGCCACTTCATTAGGAACACCTAATAATGACCCAATTCGCTGTTCTCTTTGTAAAGTCTTTTTTCACAATATGCTTTTATTGGATAGTCTCTACCCAATGAAGTGGCTGCGTGCTTTGTGTCAGTTCGCCACAGGATGGCGCTATTGTACCTCACTACCTCATAGCTGTTCACTGCGTGTCTGCTTTTTTTAATGGAGTGTTTTTGCGCGCGCGCGTGTGTGTGTGCGTGTGTGTGTGTGTGTGCGTGTGTGTGTGTGTGTGTGGGACCACTTTGGACCTTATTCACTTCATGCCTTACCTTGCAACTTTTCACCTGCCCAGCAGAACTCTTCATGGCTCCAGATTCTCACTACTTCTATTTCAGCTGTCCCTGAACAAGTCGTCAGAGGTGTGGTGGAAGTGCATCCTGGAGGGCGAGGAGGAGATCGACGTGGACAAGCTGAACCGTGAGCGCTCCATGGCCAGCGTGGATGAAGAGGAGCACGCCGTCCTTGACCGCCTCACCTTCGACTACCACCAGAAGCTGCAGGGGAAGCCACAGAGTCACGAGATGGTCGGTGTGCACATTCACACAGAACAGCAACACGGGGCGGCGGGTAAACTTTGTCAGAGCGTGAAAGGGGCTCACACACTTACTTGCCACTTCATTAGGAACACCTAATAATGACCCAATTCGCTGTTCTCTTTGTAAAGTCTTTTTTCACAATATGCTTTTATTGGATAGTCTCTACCCAATGAAGTGGCTGCGTGCTTTGTGTCAGTTCGCCACAGGATGGCGCTATTGTACCTCACTACCTCATAGCTGTTCACTGCGTGTCTGCTTTTTTTAATGGAGTGTTTTTGCGCGCGCGCGTGTGTGTGTGCGTGTGTGTGTGTGTGTGCGTGTGTGTGTGTGTGTGTGTGTGTGTGTGTGTGTGTGTGTGCGCGCGCCCACGCAGAAGGTGCATGAAATGCTGAAGAAGGGTTGGGAGGCGGAGGGCTCGCCGTTCAAGGGTCAGCAGTTTGACCCGTCCATGTTCGACATCCCGCCCAGCGCCGTGCAGTTTTGAATTTTCAGCGCCACCCACTGCAACTTGTGGATGATTTCCTGTTTGTTGGTAACATCACGATCCGTCAATCAATCCAAGCAAAAGTACAAAGGTGACACTTTCAACAAAACGGAGGATGTCTTTCTTTTTCCTTGCGGATGAAAAAAGAAGTACCAATCAAAAGACTGCACTGTTTATCTCTGTCCGTTTCGGTACCCAAACACTGTGCCTGGTACCCTGATGGACAAAGTTATTTCTGAAATGAAATAAAATACAAACTTCACACTTGTGTCCATTGTCCTCATTGATAAATTCCATATAAGGTTGCTTAAAATCTTGGTTATCAATTTCAGCAGCCCAGGGAGTTAGCACCGTCTCACTGTTTTAAATTTCAAGAAAAATGAGTAATTTCAAGTTTCATTTACCTCCATTTTTTTCCTTCAGCGCTGTGTACAAAACAGATAACTAAGACCCTTATGATACAGCCTATATCAAGCCCGGCTAGCTCAGTCGGTAGAGCATGAGACTCTTAATCTCAGGGTCGTGGGTTCGAGCCCCACGTTGGGCGAGATGTTTTTGCTCCGCGCATGCTGTAATCCTGCGGGCCAATACCCGTCGGTTAAGTCTGAACGAAAATAATTATCTATCATGCTAGCTGCTAAATCTAAGAACTGTCCACATTTATCTTAAATAAACACTTTAGCGTCATTTAAAAAGAAATAACGACGTGTGTGTGTGTGCGCGCGCGCGCGCGCGCGCGTGTGCTGTCTTCCCTAGAGAAGCCGTGCGGGGGGAAAGCCTGACAAAACCCCCAGCGTGCGCGCGGGCGGGCGTGCATGCGTAAACGCGCACGCGTTTCAAGGAAAACGCCAGTGGGCGGAGTCTTGCTCTCCAAGTCCTCTCTAGTCCGCTGCGACACGCCGCTCGCTGACTTCACTCGGAACCGGAGACACCAGCTGAACATCCCACCATGGCCACCACCACCACGTGCACGCGCTTCACCGACGAGTACCAGTTGTACGAGGAGCTGGGCAAGTACGTGCACGCGCTTTTGTCTTTTTTTTTTTTGGCACACTTGCTGTATAGATGTAATATGTCGGGACTTTTTTTTTCCAATGACGCGCACGTGCGCACGCACTTTGGCCTGGAAAAAGTGAACGCCAGGTTGTGCGTGGGCATGTGTGGGACCTCACGGGAACACGTGTGACTGTCCCACTCTCCCCCTCGTCAGCGCGCGCGCGGGTGTAAATGTGTCTTTTGTGATTAGCGTGTCCATCTTTGTGTGTGTGCGGCGGGCTGTATTGTGTATTTACTCTAATGAGTGTACTATCTCGACTCAGGGACAGCTCCAGGATTTTTTTGTCTCCCGGGGCTAAAGGGTGGCTGATACGTCGGGTGTGTGAGAAAGTAATTTGTAAATATATTTTAGAATATCGAATAAAATGCTAGAGGGCCGTAACTGGAGCTACACGAATTTCTGACTAAGCTATAGCCCCACCGAGAATGTTTAGCAAATGATAAACGACAGTCAGCTGGCAAACTTGACCACTTTAGGGCTCGCAATGATGATGTCATCGTGGTTTCAAGTTTGCGATTCAAACCTGACGTAGGATTTCAAAAGAGGGTTTTAAGTCAGTGTTAGGGTTTCAAAGAAAGGCTTCAAATCAGCGTTTGGGTTTCACATGGAGGATTTTTAGATGTTTTCGAGTGCATTTTCATTGTGCTTTCATGTTTGTGGTAATAAAGTTGTTGCTCGCCCCAAGTGACCCCAGGGGGAGTGAAGCCCACTCATTGTGACTGTCGTGATGCGTTCAAGGACCGCTGAGAGGCTCTTATTGCGTAACGTCGCTTTGAGAGCATCGAATGACGTTACTTATTGGATACGATTTTTTTAAAAAAAAAAGCTTGTTTTACCTTCCAAGAATGTGAGCGTGATTGGGGAGAATTCAATGAATCGTTTCAACCCAAGCGTCAACTTTACTGTCTACTATATAAAACTCCTCAATGTATCGTTTAGTTGGGAATGCGTGAATGGCTCCTCAATCACCATACATGGAAGCCCCGGGCGGCCATTTTGTTGTCTTGTTGTCTGGTTGAGAAGCAAGAAATTTCATCTGTGCTGTATGTTGCACATACAGCGCATTTGACAATAAAGTTGTACTTGACTTGACTTGAAATGCTGAGCCAGCTAAGCCGTCTTCTTGTCCCGTTTGCTTCGCCAGGGGAGCCTTTTCAGTGGTGCGCCGCTGCGTCAAAGTGTGCTCGGGGCAAGAATATGCCGCCAAGATCATCAACACCAAGAAACTGTCAGCCAGAGGTGAGACTAAAGCCCCCTGAGGTTGGGTTTCAAACCAGCGTTAGTATTTCAAGTTGGAGTTTCGAGCCGTGTTTTGGTTTGAGCAGAATTTAGGCTTCAAACAAGGGTTAGGCTTAAATTTGGTTTTCAAGCCAAGGTTCAGGTTTTATATGCTCACACAGAAACTTGGTGTTGTTGTTGGGTTGAAAGGTCAGGAGTCTTGATGTCTCAGCACTGCTGTCAATCAAATGTCCACCACACTCGACTGTTCCTTTCGGTATTCACATCGACGTGCTTACTTTCCTCTTATCGTGTGTCCTTTTTACATTCGTTCCTTGCCTCTTCTTTTCTTTCCTTTTCTCTCCTTGTTTCCTTCTTCCTTGTGTCCTTTGTTGTCTTTTCCTTGTCTCCTTTCTTTCCTTCCTTTCCTCTCTTCTGCTCGTTTCTTACCCGGTGGACCTGATGTGATGTCATAAAATGGTGACGAAATGACCTCGACATTCTTGTTGATTCGTGTTGTTATCTTTGTTGTTGTTGTTGTTGTCGTTTGTGAGCGTAGATCACCAGAAGTTGGAGCGGGAGGCTCGCATCTGCCGGCTGCTCAAACACTCCAACATTGGTCAGAAGTTTCATTATTCGCAATTGCGACAACGTATCACGTGCCAGTGTGTGTGTTTGTTTGTGTGCGTGTTTGTTTGTTTTGTGTGTCTGTTTATGTCCTTGTGTATTTGTTAGTGTCTGTTTTGTTGTGTACCTGTGTTTGTGTGTGTGTGTGTGTGTGTTTGTGTATTACTGTTTGTCTTACCATTTGTGTGTTTCACTGTGCATTTGTGAGTTACCGTGCATGTGTGTTCATGTTTTTTTTTTTGTACATCCGTGTTATACCGTGAGTGCGACTGTTGTGTGCGTGTGTTTGTGCGTCTATGTCTTTGAGTGTCTGCTTGTTTGTGTTTATGTGTATATGTGTGTGATATCGTGTGTGTCTCTTTATGTATGTTAATTGGTTTGTGTTTGTGTGTGTGTGGTGACTTGTGTAATGACATTCAAACTGATTTGAGTACTGCACTCCAATGTAAAGTCGCGTTTTAGCGCTCAATGTTGGTGTGTGTGTGTGTGTGTGTGTGTGTGTGTCTGCGTGTGTGTGTGTGTGTGTGTCTGCGTGTGCGTGCGCTGCTGCGGCAGTGCGTCTCCATGACAGCATCTCGGAGGAGGGCTTCCACTACCTCCTTTTTGATCTGTGAGTTCCTCCTCTTCTTCCGCCCCATATTTGTTAGTCTGCATCGCTGCTTATCACCCCCCCCCTCAATTACATAACACCCCCCCTCCCACCCCTACACCCGCTCCATCCCTCCTTTGCCGCTTTAGCATAAACTCCCCCGCATCGCCGGAGTCAGTCGCCATGGCAACACGGCCCCATTCAGCGGTGCGCTCGGGGTTTCCCCCTCAGTAGGACATCCCCCTCCACTGTGTGTGTGCGTGTGTGTGTGTGTGCGCGTGCGTGCGGGCACGCGTGTGGGTGGTGCAGATGTAACCGTCTCGGTGTGTGCGTTGTCAGGGTGACAGGGGGTGAGCTCTTTGAGGACATCGTGGCAAGGGAGTACTACAGTGAAGCAGACGCCAGGTATACCCCCACCACCAACAGCACCCCCCCTCCCCCCTTTCACATACACGCGCACACGCACACACATTTGCGGGGGTGCCTCTGCAGTTTTCCTGTAAATTTCTTTTGGCAACTTGCTCTGCGACACTATTGAAAATGATGATGATGATGATGATGACAGCGGCGGTTGGAGGACTTTCTCCGTCGTCCAGACATTGAGACGGATGCCCACAGGAGGTGCGCGTAAATCAATTCGACTGCTTTTGCGTTGGCGAGCCAGCCAGGAAGGAAGAAGAGGAGGTGGAGGCAAAAAAAAAAAAAAAAGATGCCGCGAGGCTGAAAACGCATCTGCGCCAGGATGATTGACAGCTGTTGGAGCAGGCCAGTAAGCATAAGGCGAATTACGGCAAGATGTTAACCCTCTGGCTGTTTGAGCACCCTGTTCCAACAGGGGGCGTCGTGGTCATTCGCTTGAATTCATAAATCTTTCGAAAACTGCCGACAGTGTTGCCTTTGAGATACACGTAGTTATATTTGTTCCATGACCAAGCTTTTAACTCAAAACAACTTTAAAATAAATGCATTCTAGCGCCACCATATTTTGTCTACATGTGTTGCACCACCGTTAGTGTTAGAATATCCGCTGCTGCCAATACCATGATGCTGATGCGATTGTCTAGCCTGTTCATGGCGTAAAGCTAAATGGACTTTCATAAGGTCTGCTTTCTGGTAGCGATAGGGCCTAAATCCTGCAATGAGTTGTGACAATTTGCGAGGAATCAACTTCCCATCTTTGGGTACACCATAAGAAAAATCCAATTATCTTACAATAAAATAATAATAATAATTTTCAAAGGTCTTTATTTAACAATATGTTTGCCATTATTGTGGTGTATTGCAATACAGTGAGGGCTGCTCCTAATAATTAGGGTATTGTTAGCCAGTGTGCAGGTGTACCTAATGAATTGACCACTATATTCATGGCGGATTAGCAGGTGGGGGGAAAAAAAAAATTCCAAAATGTTCAGTAAGTGTCCCAAAAATGCTTCCGATGCATTTTCGTCCCTCGTTTCTTGCGTTCTTCCCAGCGCCTGTGCATAAATTTACTGCGTGTGCTCATTTGTGTTCGTTCGCACGCGTGTTTCTCACTGACACCTTCCTCTCGTTATCCCATCTGTGCTATTCAGTTCTGCTGAATTTTTTTTTTACATTCAGATATGATTTTTAGGGCTCAGATAATACAAACCCTGCAAAGGTCGCATCTCTTATTACTGTTTGCTGTAGACTACGGTTGTTATTGGTTCATGTTAAGCGGCATCGATATTGACTTTTATCACAGTGCAGAAATCAATCAGTGGATTATTAGTATGGAGTGTGCCAATGTGAATGTGGTCCCCCCCCCCCCTCACCATGCGGTCTTGTCTCTACAGTGATTGTATCCATCAGATTCTAGACAGCGTGTCACACACACACCAACATGACATAGTGCACAGGGACCTCAAGGTGTGTTGACGTCACTCATGTGTACATTGACGTATATGTGTGTGTTTGTACGTCGTCGCCCTTCTTCACTTTTGGACCTGCTTGCCACCAGAAAGAGAACGAGAGCATGTGAATGACGGGGGTGGGGGGGGGGGCTAACCAACACAAACACTAAGCAAACACAACACGCATACATACACTTAAACATGCTGCACAAAACAACACAGTGGCAAACAAAACAAACACACACACACACACACACACACACACACACACACACACACACACACACACGGCTGGACGCGCCCCGCGAGTGACTATGACTAACCCTCTGCCCCCCCCCTGCTGTCTGCATGCAGCCATTGCATCCAGCAGATCCTGGAGGCGGTGCTTCACTGCCATCAGATGGGTGTGGTCCACCGAGACCTCAAGGTGAGTTGTCACTTGACAAGTCATGTGATTAGTAGACAGACAGACTTGACAGGTGAGTGAGGGCCTGGTTGTCGTCCGCGTGCGCAACTCGGCATTTTGGCATGGCCATGCACGAGTTTCATTGTGGCTCCTTGACCTACGAGTTGAATTTATTGCGTGAACAAGCTCAGTTTAGAGGGGTATGAAACCAACACAATAGTTTTAATATCGGTCGCCTGTTGATAACATCGTACACGTATTAATGATGTGAACGTATAACGTGACGCAAAATTCTAAGGAAGCTTTTGTGTCTCTTTATATTCTGAGAAGCTAATTAGCTGCCGAAGTCCTGAGTCCTTAAGAAGCTGTTAGCATTAGCTTGAGAGTTGTTACAAAACTTGGGCACCATTGAAGATTTTGCGATTGGTTTGCGAGCTAACTGTCTTAACGCTAGCATTAGCTAATCGGCCACTAGCATTAGCTTCATGTGCTGTAAAGTGTCTTTAAAAATGTGTGTTCTTGCCAAACTGGAGCAAGATGAATGGACAGTATCCAGTTTAGTCTCCCTCATATGTCCTTTCATAGGAAGCTTTCATTAAAGCTTTTATTAAAATTCAGCTTCTTGTTTACGAGCGACGCTAATTAGCTTCTATCATAAAGCTCAGCAATACAGAGCTATTCTACGAGCGTCCTACTTGAATGTTGTCATGGTGTGTCATTAGTAGTGTGTACAGTTGTGAGGTAGCACTCCTAGCGTCAACTTGTAATCCTAACAAAAATGAATGAGCCGCTACTGTTAGCTTAATTTGCTGTACAGTATTTTTCTTTCTGTTGCAGCCCGAGAATCTTCTGCTAGCCAGCAAGTGTAAGAACGCTGCTGTGAAGCTTGCCGACTTCGGCCTGGCCATCGAGGTCCAAGGAGACCAGCAGGCATGGTTCGGTACGTTGCACCTGTCCATTTGCCGTTCTGTGATTGGCGTTGTGACATTTTTTTTTTTTTGTGTTTAGGCTTTGCGGGGACGCCTGGTTATTTGTCTCCGGAGGTCCTGAGGAAGGAAGCGTACGGGAAACCGGTGGACATCTGGGCGTGTGGTGAGAGCCACGTTCACAGCGACACGACCGGGAGTGGTTCATTCGTGCTGCTTGACGTGTTCGTGTGCTTGCATAGGCGTGATCCTGTACATCCTCCTGGTGGGTTACCCTCCTTTCTGGGACGAAGACCAGCACAAACTCTACCAGCAGATCAAAGCAGGAGCCTATGATGTGAGCCTTCATTGTGACCCCCGTGACCTCCTCATCCTCGCCCTTCTAACACTCGTGCGTGTGCGTAGTTCCCGTCTCCGGAATGGGACACGGTGACGCCCGAAGCCAAAAATCTGATCAACCAGATGTTGACCATCAATCCGGCCAAGAGGATCACTGCCCAGGAGGCCCTCAAGCACCCGTGGGTCTGCGTACGTATGCTGCCCACACACGCATGTACACGCGTGCAGTGACCGTAATGAAGTTCCATTCCTGGGACCGACTGCTACTAGTTGCTAGTTAGTGGTTAGTGACTTTCTGACGATGTGGTTGGTGTGGTTCTTGGCGATGTGTCAACAGCAACGGTCCACGGTGGCGTCCATGATGCACCGGCAGGAGACGGTGGAATGCTTGAAGAAGTTCAACGCCAGGAGGAAGCTGAAGGTGACCGATCAGCACGCAGCGCTAATCTTGCAACCTCGTAAGCGTGCAACCTTCTCAACTTCCTCTTCCTCCACGTGGGCAGGGCGCCATCTTGACCACCATGCTTGTCTCCAGGAACTTCTCGGGTGAGACCTCAGATTTATATTCATACGTACAGTGAATATCTATTATTTACTCTGAATATATTTTGTGGTTGATTTGTGTTTTAATTGTACATGATTTAAATTGATTTGAATCGATCAAAAGCTGGCGTGTTGTTGTACCTCTCCCATTTATCCACCAGAGGGAGACAGAATTCATTTTCAAAGTGGCCCGCTTTTTATAATATAAAAATTATAAATTGCGTCATCAGAGCGATGCATACTCACCCATTTGACTGAACATTTTTGTTCTTTGACATTCCCATAATTCATGAAACACACTGAAATTTTTTACAATTATTTATATATGATGATACTATTAAAAAAACAACCACTCATTTGATCCATTAAATTGTAATGACTTTTTGATTGTTGTATTTACAGAAAATCAATGAACCAATTATTAGATGAAATAAAGTCACGAAAAAAAAAGGACTTGTGCATTTTATGACGAAAAGTCAGTTAACAAATTAATGAGATGCATAATGCTCCGGTTCTGGACCTTTTCATGTGCTTCCAGTTGGCCGTCAGACCACGGCTCCGGCGTCGGTTAGCAACCTGCCAGCAAGTGGCGCCGGCATCGTAGAACAAGGTCCGGACGGCGCCTGCGTGGCCATCTTGCTCTTGGCCTCCCTCGTCTAACCTTTGTCTCCTCCTTTCTTTCTGTGCCGCCACCTTTCATGACCGCCGCGCTCGCCAAGGTAAGCGGCCTTCGTCTTCACTTCAACCGTATGACGAATGTTACAAGTTTTAAAGAAACTCGCATGCCGTCTTTGTCATCAAAATCTATTTTTGTGGCAACAAAAGTGTTTTAAAAAGAACTCTCTTTGCACAAGCTCTTGTGAACAAACACCAAAAAATAGTCTGTTATTTTTACAGACAAACTCTGTTTTGTAAACTTTTGTAAAAGTTATTCAAACTTCTTGGGCATCCAGGTGTGACAACCGCCAAACACACACACCCTTATGTATCCAAAATCTTGCCGTTATGCGGTGCCTAATGCTGACGAGGGCGACCGCTGTCATCTTTATTTTGAGTGTAAAGTGCGCCAGCGGCACTATTTGGGATTATATGGCAAATGACTTCCTGCTGATCCTGGCGCTGATCTCGCGTCATGTGACGCCAGGATCTTTCATGTGCGTGCTTGTGTGCCACTTTCATGTGAGGGAGGAGATCAGGGGGGAGGGATTTCTTTTTTCTTTTTTTTTCTTTCTTTTTCTTTTTTTATTTTTAAAGAGCGCCACCGATGCGCAGAGATGGACACTCGGTGTGTGCCGAGCGAGTAGGGTGTGAGCAGGTTGCACCATGTGCACGCTCCCAGCTGAGGGTGTGTCTTTTTGCCTGTCCGCAGCAGCCAAGAGCCTCCTCAACAAGAAGGCCGACGCCAAGGTAGGACGTCACACGTCTTCTGCAGGCGCAGCGCGTCATCGACGACTCGTCGGTGATCAAATGATCAGCAATGAATTTGATCGGCGACGAGTCGTTTGAACTGAACTCTCCCATCCCTGGCGTCCTCCGTGAAAGCAGACTTGATTAGTTTAGATTAGATTAGCTTGGAGTTGTGTGTGTGCTTTTGTGTCAGGGCTGGGGGCTATGGCCTAAAAAAATATATTAAAAAAAAAATCTGAAAATTACAATTTAAAATGTTAAATGCAGTTTTACCATTTAGATTTGGAGAGAAAAAAAACCCCAATCCAAGCAAGTTGAGCTTTGTTCCATCTCTGGGATTTGTTTCATTTCACTTCAACCAAAAAGCTTTGCAGAAGTAGTATTTGCTCGTCACTGTTATTGATTTATTATTATTTTTTGTTTTTGATTGGTGCCTAGCAGGAAGTGATGAACGAACCATGTTGCGAGCGTCAGCGGTACAAATCGGCAAGGACAATAAAAATTTGCTTTTCATGACGATGACGCATTTATCCCCGGCCTGTGTGTGTGTGTGTGTTGGTGTGAAAAGTTCTGTTGTTGTTGTTTTTGTTGTGGTCGGTTGTCATTGCACGAGCGTTGTCTTCAATGCAAAGGAGTTGAAGGGCTATTTTCATTTCCGTTATTCAGTGCCGCAAAATGTTATTGCTGTTTTGTCATGAAAACTAAAGCATATAAAAAAAAAATTATATATATTTTTTGGGGGTGGGGTATTTCTCCCTTTTAATTCTGAAATTTGATTTTATGGCACTGAAAGTTCCCCTCAAAATGACAGACACTTTGGCATGCACACTTTTTGACATACTTATATACACACACACACACACACACACACACACGCATTTTGACACATGATTTTTAGAAGCACAAATACTTTGACCGTCACACTTTTACATACATTTTTGCACACTCAATTTGACACCCACATTCTGAGGGACACACATACATACATACACACACACGGTGATGAAAACATGATCTGAGACTCACACTTTTTGCCACACAAACGATGACATGGTTGCATCTCGAATTTGAAGGTAGTTTATTTTTAGCGTGCTGTATTAAGGTGACACACTTTTCCCCGCCCAGTTGGGAATTCTGCGCCTCCCTTTCATTAACCTTCATCTTCTTCTTCTTCTCTTCCGTCCCGCTTTGACTTCATCCCCTCATCATAGCCCAAAACACCGCCCCCACCCCATGTCATTCCCCCAACATCACCCAACCTTTGGAGAGTGGTGCTAATCTCAGATTATTTGCCTCCAGATGATTAATCTAACGTTACGTCATCAGTACATATGCACGCACGCGCGCACACACGGGAATGTCCTGCTTCGCTGGACTCTGTTTGAAAGTCACATGACTTCCATACAGTATGTGACATGACTTCAACTCACATACAGTATATAATATACTAATGAAGCATGTGTTATTCATTATTATTATTATTTTTTTTTAAGTGACCAATTTGTGGCCCGGCGTGCAGATTACACCTCTCTTTTGTCGTTTTCCTGATTTTTAACAAAAGGCACGGCAATATATGAATGGACTAACACTGCTTTGTGCTTGCCACTGGCAGCCATTTTACATTGCCACTCGCGAAGCCTGCGTAACTTGAATACCTTGATTTCGCCCGTCGGGACAAAACTCTGAACCGTCTTTGAGAGACTCTCGGTACTCTGGAGAGGAATCCTAGCGTGAAACACGCGCTGATAGCAAGGCGGGAAAAAAAGGTTTGCAGGAATCAGCGGCAACACAAGATGGCTGCTCTCTGGTGTCAGACAGACTTCAGTGTCACATGACTTTAATTCACTGTTTGTGTGACATCGTTCACTAGTGGCCTGGCAGACGGGTTTATTTTTGTTTTGATTTTTTTTTTTTTTACAACTTTGTCATCTACACAAAACATTTTTCATTTAAACCGTAGACGAACCACAGACTGTCCTGTTTTTTTTTTTTTTTCCCGTGAGCCACAGCGTTCCAAATTGTTCCACAAGCGACATTGCATGCTCGGCATGAGTTGTGGTTTTTGCGTGCCGCGTGTTCAGCGTGTTGTTGTGTCACCCCTGATGCTGCTGCCGCGTTACCATGGCTGGGGTTGATGTGAGGAAGTTAGTGGGCGGGACCGAACGGGACCAGTCATGGCTGCGAGTTAGTCGAAAAAGCCCTTTGCCACTTTTTTGTGTTTCCTGCAGAGCAACAGCAGCAGCAGGAACAACAACAACACAAACAAAGTCACCAACTCGGTTACATCTGCTGCACTGGTACGCCCTGTGCGTGTGTGAGAGTGTGTGGCAGAAGAGAGATAAGGAGACTGTGTGTGTGTGTTTGTGTGTGTGTGTTTGTATGCATGCATGCGTGTGTTTTTGGGGGACACTGCCCTTGAGTTTTTTTGGGGGGGTGTTGCAAATGGTTCCTACACATCCCATCTTTTGTGTCAATCATTGATTTGAACATTTGAGCGGCAGTTCGCTCATGTGACGAGTCACTATACAGTCACCTTGTGCTCATTAGCATTAGCATGACTAATCAATGCTTCTTCCTCATCCAAATTAATCTTTCACAAATTTCTCCCTCTTTCCAATTCATCACAACACTCCACTGCTCATCCTCATCTTCTTCCTCTTCTTCCCCTTTTCATCCTTATCTTGTTCCTGGTCATCGTTCCTTCAGGAGCCTCAGACTACCGTAATCCATAATCCGGTAGATGGGATCAAGGTACTGCATTTTCCCGCTATGTCGTAGTCGCCGCTTGCCACTTTTTTTTTGTGTGTCTGCGAGGACTTTTTTTCAGGATCTCTGCCCTGCCTTCCTCGCTCGCTTGCCCGCTGTGTCGTGATTTGGGGAGACTTTGTCGTTGTGCACTCGTGTGTGGGTGTGTTTGGGGGGCGTTCTTGTCCTCGTTAACGTGTGTGTTGCTTGCAGGAATCGTCAGACAGCAGTAACACAACAATCGAGGATGAAGATGTGAAAGGTGAGAGGTGCCATGCTAACCGCTACATCAAAGACATGACATTTTTGTCTTGTACGCATCAAAAATGCAAAAATGATATAATCATTCAAGTAATTACCCATATGTCATTTAGTTGTTTTTTTTCCTCATGAAAAACTCGAGTGCTGTTTTCCTCATTACAAAACACATTCTGAACATTTTTCTCAAGGCGACACTGTATGAATGAATCTTGAATTGAC